CTTATCTATATAACAACATTTATATATAACTTGGTATATTACCTAGCATATAACCTAGCATATCATAACAACTAACTAAATACATATATATTATTATTATATTATTATTATATATATTATACTTATTTAAAATATATAATAAAACAGTTAACTATATTACAGGTATGACAGTATGCTGGTCAAAAACCAAGTTAAATTAAAAAAAAATTTTAAAAAATATTTTTTGAAAAATATTTTTTGTACTATATATCTAAGTTATGGTCTAGAATGGCTAACCTAGCATATCATAACAGTTAGATAGATACGACTATACATATTATGACACCAGCCATCATTTTAACCTTATTTAAATACATTAACACATGAATTATTACATAAATTATTACAAAAATTGAAACAAAAATTATTACAATAATTATTACATAAATTATTACAAAAAATTATTACATAAACGTATAATATAGCCCCCCCCCGAACGTTTTTGTATCAGTTTCAACATATTGTTTATAAAAGATATTTATGTAATTTGTTAAAAAAATAATTACATAAATTATCAAATAGACTTGTGATGCGGAGCACGGCCCGAACGCTTTTGTAAAATTTATTAAATAAATTATTAAATAAATTATTAAATAAATTATCAAATAGACTTGTGATGCGGAGCACGGCCCGAACGCTTTTGTATCAGTTTCAACATATTGTTTATAAAATATTTTTTGTAAATTATTACATAAATTATCAAATAGACTTGTGATGCGGAGCACGGCCCGAACGCTTTTGTAAAATTTATTAAATAAATTATTAAATAAATTATTAAATAAACGTGTAATGCGGGGCACGGCCCGAACGCTTTTGTATCAGTTTCAACATATTGTTTTTTAAAAATACTTTATGTAATTTATTACATAAATTATTACATAAATTATTACATAAATTATTAAATAAATTTGTGATGCGGAGCACGGCCCGAACGCTTTTGTAAAATATTTTTTGTAAATTATTAAATAAACTTGTGATGCGGGGCACGGCCCGAACGCTTTGTAAATAATTTATGTAAATTATTAAATAAATTATTACATAAATTATTAAATAAACTTGTGAGGCGGGCACGGCCCGAACGCTTTTGTAAAATGTTTGATGTAAGTTATTAAATAAATTATTAGATAAAACTTTACATAAATTAGTAAATAAACTTGTGAGGCGGGGCACGGCCCGAACGCTTTTGTATCCGGCTTAAAGAAACAACAACTTATATTTATAGGTAATGACCGGTAATAAACAAAATCAAGGACGAATATATATTCTTAAAAACACAAAGAATGATTTAACTTACATAGGCTCAACACGACAGACGATAGACAAAAGACTAGTCGGGCACAAACACGCCGCGCGAATGTTATTGAATACGAAGCTTTACATGTGTATGCGAGAATTAGGCACCGATTGCTTTTATATAGAATTGTTGGAGGAGTTTACAGATATTAATAAAGAAGATTTGTTGGACAAGGAAGCCAAGTTTATAAGACAACATAGAAGCAAACTTAATACATACATACCGAACTACGGGAAACCACCATCAAATTTTTTTGATTAAGATATTGCATAAATTATTGCAAAAAACAATACATGAACGTTAAATGCAGAGCCCCGCGAACGCTTTTGTAATACTTGTATGGCGGAGCTGAGCGAGAAAAAAAAAGAAGAAGGGGACAAACTCTTTTTACTGATTTTTGAAGTTGATAGGCATAGGGTATATAGGGTGGACGACATAGGGTTCGGAATTCACAGTTTTCGGGTTTGGGTTCAAGCTCTGGGTGTTCTGGGACGAAGCTGCTTGGCCGAGTGTTCCGGGAAAGAATTGCATGAACATTTTCCGAGACAACTACCCCGCGCTTAGGGTCTGGGGTTCAGGGGTCAAGGCAGCTGGGGAGAATCGACCCTACATATGAATGGCGTGTGCAATTGCACGGACCACTGCGTGCGACCTGTTACATGGCATGCTCCCTGCTTTTGTAACTTTTCGCAGCTCTTGCGTCTCTTTTTAGTAGAGCTTCTCCAACCGTTACTCGGCGTTACACCAAGAAATGGGCGGAGGTTGAGCTTCTGCAACCGTTACTCGGCGTTACACCAAGATACGGGCTGCGGCTGAGCTTCTCCAGTGGCTACTCGGCGTTACACCAAGAAATGCCACGCATTGCAGCAGCATCTGGCACAGCGCTGGCTGTATGTACAAAGCAACAGCAGTGCGTGAGTTCGTGTTCTTTGGCAACCCCAAGCGTCTCGATAATGCTTGCAAAGCGGCGGAGGTTGAGCTTCTAAACCGGCATTCGGCGTTACGGCGGAGCTTCTTGGATAAGACTTGGCTGATTGCCTTCCTTCCCTCCCACGACTCGGCGTTGCACCAAGACGTAAAAAAAGAAACAGGACGAGTGACAAGTTGCAGGCAAACCGTCCAGGGTTTTAACCCCAAGTTGCTACAAAGCTTGCCCACGCTTCGGCGTAGTCATCATCAGAAGCCGGTGCGTGCCCAATGCTCCGGTTGGCTTCTGACTCCCAGGTTGACCTCACCGCAAGTGCATCATAAACTGCCGCGGCGAACGTCCTGCCCAGGGCACAAGGATGATTCAAGCAATATTGTGACTCACGTGACCGACACAATCCGTGCTTGATCGAGCAAACCACACCCGAGCCCCTAAACTCATTGTAGATCAAAGGAGCCCTGCAAAGAGCCCGTAAGGGATGCCGAAACGGAAGTCGAAATCTCGTTTCGACGTCTTCGTGCAGCCGCAGGGCTACCGCCACGGAACATAGCTTTGCAATCGAACTAAAGTCAAGCAGATCAGGGCCGATCCTGCTGCTATGCTGTCCGTTCTCACGTGTCGATTCTGGTTGCTGTTTCAACTCCCCTCTGCCTTTGGTCTTTCAGGAGAAGTTAGGGGCAAGAGTGCCAGTGGGAGGAATATGGGCGGCAATCGAAAACCCTTACCGCTGTAATTGTGAGCTCTTGAACAGTTTGGACATTTCTGGATTGAAACACTGAGACGGTTGGGTTTCAGGTTGACAAGCTTGCACGTTCTTGGGTTCCAAACTGTAATGCTTGAAGCTTATGTCTGTTCCACCCTCCAACAACCTCCCCAGGTATATACACGCACCGAGGCAGTTCCGGGCGAAACCGCGCCCCGAGGGATCCGAAAAAGACGCCGGTTTTACCATCAAAACGATCAACCTCATGGGCATCATGGGCAGATCCTCCGGAACATCTTGCGCACTATGAAGGAGGATGTTGGGGAGGAGGTGGAAGAAAGAGGAGAAGGGGGAGGAGAGCGAGGGAGGGTCGCCGAGGTAACCAAAGATCGCGACACTGCAGCATTTTGTAGGGGCAGAGACTGAGAAGTCACAAGCGACACCGGCACAGAAGTCACAAGTGACACCCGATAGAAGTCACAAGTGACCCCTCTACCTCCTTTGTGCTCCCATCCAATGTGGAAGGGGTATTCCGCAAGGAGATCCATTGTCAATGGTGGTCGCTGCAGCGGTCCTTGGTAGATGGGTGGATGCTCTCCCACATGAGCTCACCATCAGCCATGTCTTTGTTGATGACAGGTTGCTCATCGACAGTTCCAGTGCTGCGCTACAAGAGCTTTATGAATTTACTCAGCAATGGGACCGAGCCCGTTATTTTGACACGAAGCCCAAAACAAGAGCTTTTGGTACTAATCAGCCCGCTGAAAATCTTAAATGGAACGCTCACACTGAGGTCTTGCGAAATAATGGTAACATTGTTTATCTTGGTATCCCACTCCCTTTTGCGAACCTTGGTAGAGCCTCTTTCTTTGAGCCCATCATTAACAAACTTTGTGATGCTTTGCAGAAATGTACTGTAGAGCTCATTTGTCCATCAAACAGTCTGAACAGGTTGTTTACACTAAAGTTGCGCCTACGCTTGCTTACACGTGTATGGTGGCCAGGCCCACACAAGCTCAGATACACAAACTTCGCACTGCCATTTTTAAAGCTTGCGCTGGCAGGCACTTTGCTACGCAAGCTGCCCAAGCCTTGCGTTTGCACAAGACTCATTTATTTGAGCCATGGTACATTTCTCATTGTGCGCATGGCGCAGGGCGTAGAGCATCCCTGGCATGGCGCAGCAAGTTTCATCGCTTATTGGCGAACCTTCACGTCGCCGTTTAAAGGGCCCATCACCCTGCTCAACGAGGATCTTACATGGATCGGGTGTACTTTTGATGCAAACACGGAATTTTGCAGCACGATGGCATTGGGGCCACGTGTACCTTGTTTGAAACCAATAAAGCGGTTTTTTCAGCATTTCATCCGGCAGTGCATCCGACACAGGCTCATCCAGGATCTTGCTGCGAAACATGAGCGCTGGAAGCGAATTGAAAAAGCGGGGGCACGCATACACGGGTTGAGCCAAGGCACTGTGGAATCGGCAGAGCTTGTCAAGGTTGACCCACACACCTGCGAAGGCGACGATTGTACGCCAGGGGACTCCGAACATGCAGAGGTCACAGTGCCACACCCGAACATGCCGACGGCGAAGAGCTTGACGTGTAGGAGGGCAAATCCAGAGCCTGGATCGTCGAGGGTGTTCTATAGTCAGCGGCACGTGCAAGACCAGGCAAAGACGCATGCACTCTGCAGTGAACCTCATGAGAACATTGTTGAGCTGGACTTTGTGTGCTGCACCGGCGACAAACCCGGGAGCCCAAGAGGACGCTCGTCGGAACGCACGGGTGTCAGGCCTGGCCTGTATAAGAAAGTATGGGTCGGAGGGCCCAAGTGCATGCCACGGATTCGGCCTGCACGGATCCATCCAATGATCTTGTATTGGTTCTGCTTGACAGTGAGATCACACTCGCGACCACAATGGATGTCCCAAAACAGGGCAGGCCAGCCATTTCTTTTTGCCACAGTGCTAGCAAGGCGGTGCATCGCTGAAAACACTTCAAAAAAGACAGGTGGATCGACGAGCGGTCGGCTCAACGCAGGCTGGCACACAAACGGCTGAGATCGTTGGCGGCTGAGATGGCTTCCTGTTGCACCTTTTCCGGCAGGCTTGCGAAGAACCGTCCGCCTTTTTGGTAGCTTCGCACACTCGCCTGGCTGCGCCACGGCCCTCGGAGCTGGATTTGGCTGAAGTCGTGGGAAGCTCCTCTGTGCCGAAGGCGGTATGGGTGAAGAGGGCCTAGCGCTCTCAATCCCAGTGCCACAGACCCCCTTTCGACGAAGTCGCTCAGATCGCGGAGGGAGGGGTTGCGACTTAGGCGCAGGACTCGGTACACTGCCTCCACTACTTTGTCGCGGTAGTCGAGAATCAGCTGGAGGGTCTCGTCGAATTGTGTTTTGGAGCTGTGCTCCAACTCCATCATCGGATGTAACACCACCGTCCACCGACGATACCTCCGCTGCCGCAGTGCCGGGCACACGAGGTCTTTGCACCACCGCGCTTCTGTGGGCCTCAAGGAAAGCATGAAGTTCAACAGCATGTGAAGGGCCACCGCTAACCGTTTGTTTGAGAACCCCCATTGAGCCAGGAGGGCCACCACCTCGAAACGGTTTGGGCAGACGGGACTTTGGTGGCGCCAAACGTCCTGCAGGCACTGCTTGTGATGCGAGGGCATCTCTGCAAGCCCGCCGCCTTGATCACCATGCAGAAGAAGAAGACTGCGGCAATGAGATACTGACCCGCCGAGAGATCCTCCCCATCCATGTACATGTCCTGCAGATGAAGCGCGAGATTGGCATCGATGGCTGAGAAGGTCCGTATAAGACAGATGGGGTGCGGTAGGCCAGGTGGCGGACGGTGTCCTAAGCCGTTGCATATCTTTTCCTCGAGACCGGCGTCACAGCCGCCTCCTCCCAACACTGTACGCCCCGCCTGTCCCGGAGTCGGCGATCTCCTCGCTTTCCGACGGGCATCTTTCGTGGCCGCCCGGGCCGAACACTGGCTGCTCCGCGCTCTCGCTGTTGGCACGGTGGCAGCGGGTGCTGTAGATGACGCGGGCGGTGCCATCACTGTTTTGTGGGACTTGCGCTTCTTCGGGGCTCCTGTCCTTGCAGAGCCTTCCAACAAGGGAGTCGTCACGATGTTGCGATGTATCATCCCTAGCAGCTTCAGGCCATCGTTTCTCAGGACGCAACAACTCACGTAGCGCCAGCCGCACCTTCCATGCACGATGAAGCGATGGCCCAAAACGGCCGCCGGGATGGATCTCCCACCCAAGGACCTTGGCGCCATCGTTTGAAATCTCCTCTTCGTGTACTTGCAGACCAGCCTCCTTGAGTTGATCCACGGCGGCCTTGAACGACTGCAACACCTTCTGCTGCAACTCAGATTGTTGACGTATTGGGTATGTAGGCAATCACTCTCAGGAACTGGCAAACGATCACGAAGTCGGGCCTCATCCCGCAATCCAGCTGCCTCGACCAGCTCATGAACATTCTGGCATATCCACAGACACCAAGACCGCCCCGTGGGCACCACCGCAAGGCGGGGTACACTTTCACCGTGGAAGTCCGAACATATCACGCAGGCGCTCCGGGAGCTCTAAATGATAAAACGCGTCAGCCATCGCGATGGTGAGAGGCCCGTCAGCTTCAATCCTGGCCAGGCTTTCCCTCGTGCATAACCGCAACGCACCGAGTCTGGTTCGCAAAAGTGGCAGTTGCTTCGCCTGGCGTCCACAATCATTCGCAACTTGCCACCCTTCTTGGTCACGAAGAATACCGCGACTTCCTCCCGACAAGGCTCGAGCACGAAGTCAATCAGGTTTGAAGCGAAGAGCCGGCTGAGAAAGTTACCATAAGTAGGTCTGTGCTTAAGCAAAGGATCCCAGTAAGGATGTTCAACCGCACAAGACTGAACACGCATCCGGGCCTCACTTTCAGGCAGAAGCTTCGAGCGATAGAAATCGCCCACGAAGTCGTGCCCGTCGGGCCCCCAAAGTTTCTCCGTCGCCAGCCCGGAGAAGGAAGGGAGACACCTTCGGGATTGTAAAGCGCGGGCACCTCCCGAGCAGAGAGGCCTGAAGGTGGCCTCCCCATAACATGCACCGACTGCCTCACGAAGTCAATTGCCTCGGCCTGTGCCGCCGAGAGATACTCAAAAGTCGCACCACGTCCCGAAGGGGCGTCGTACGTTGAACTCAAAGCTGCAATGGTGTGGTTGGTCTCCTCAAGCTCTCTCCACCTGTGCATGTGCCGCCGTTGTGATCGCCGTGCAAAGCCTGCCGTCTGCCGTCACAGGCTGAGCACCACTCAACAAGGGCAGCGGAAAGATCTCGCGGGGGACTTTGCGATCATCACCCACAGGCTCTGGCCTGCTTCGGGTAGCAGAGAGCCTGAAACTGCCATCTCACGCTCTTCACGTGCTTTTCGTAGATTTTTGGCCAGGGCAGCGTCGCGCTCAACTTCTGTCTTGACATGGGTGAGGAGGTCCGGGCATACCATGAGGGTGCCTGCTTGCCGCGCAGAGCCCGCCGAACGTCTTTTACTCCTCGAGGCTGATTCGGCCCCCCGCTGATTTGCTCTCGATCTCCCGAACCTTGTCGGCGTAAGAGAACTCGATGGTTTGGAGCCGACGGAAGATCATCTCGATGAAGAGGTTGTTGTTCCCGTCCAGCTGGTCCTGTTGCAAGGCAGCCTTGATCATCATGGAGAGCTGGAAGTGCTGGAGATGCCCCAACTCGAGCTGTCGGCCTTTACCAGCTGACGGAAGCGCTTTTGATGCCCCTCCAGTCCCAAGGCCTCCACCGTCAGATAGGCAAGGCACCATTTGGAGGTCCTCGGTCCCGGTAACGTCCAAAGGACGGGAATCTGTTCGCCCTTCTCGGCAACTTCCTTCAGGCTGCACTCGGGGGCGTCCAAGGGCATCCAAAGTGACCGGAACGATTCGATGATCCCACTTTGCCGGCTGCCGTAAATAGGCTGCTCTTCCCGAACCTCGGATGCATCGACAAAACAGCTCCGTGCGTTCAGGAAGGTGGTGCACAGTACAACGCGCCCCTTCCACGGCCGCGGCCAAGACCCCAGGCACGGCGTCACCGTAGCGATACGTCCCGCCGTCTTCTGCGGCTAGCCAATACAAGGTCTGCGGAGCAAACTGCACCAGCGCCCCATCATCAGCGGCCACAGGCGCCACAACAGCCGCCGCCGCCGGAGCGCCGCCACCACCAGGTCCTGGAGGCGCAGCTGTCGCTGCCGCTCCGGGTCCGACCAAACCCGACGAGCCATCTCGGCTTGGAGCTCGACCCGCCCACTGGCTATGATCCTCGCAAAGTCTCCAGCCGTCAAAGGGGCAAAGGCATAGATCTGCCCCGCAGGAATCCCGCGTGGAACTCGCCCGTCCCGACTATGCCACAAATGAGCAAAGTCAGGGTTTTCTGCATCCATCTGCTCCACGTAGATATCGTGGTCAGGCGTGCAAATGAGCTATTCGTTCCCCTGCACCTGACCCAGAAGCAAACGAGTGTGTACAACACCGGGGTCCCCGTGCTATCTCACGTAGCAAAGGCTTCCAGGCTCCATCTAAATCAGCCGTCTGTGATCTGGAGTCCCTTCACTGAGCCGTAGACTCCCTTTCCAGGTTTCCCTTTGACAGACACGGCCCACTCTTGGTCACCAGCAGCCGTCCTCTTGACCGTCACTCGCAGCACCAGGGCCAGATTCGCAGTCAATAGGCCGGCTAGCAGAAGACCCAGAATCAGGGTTCCCACAGGTGTCCCGGATGGAATCTCAGTGGGACAGGCACAATGACAATGGCAAGGCCTTCCGTAGCCTCAGGAGACGCCCGTTGCGGTTGAATCCACAGTCCCACGATCAAGCCAACCGCACCGAGGGCACCATGACTGATGACCATGACTATTTTTAGCTTGAGCAATGCAACGACAGTTGGGATGCGGCCTGCAATATGCAGAAGGCACTCAATCAAATCTGTTCAAGCACTTCATATGCCCGCGTTTTCACTTCATCAGAGCGGATTGGCCTGCTGTTTTGAAAGGATCGGATCAGTGGCCACAGTGTGCACAACACTGCCTTGTTGCTACCACTGAGCTCCCACAGCATGTTTTGAGTCAATTGGGTTCCGTCCAGTTACATGTTGCTGTTCTCTTTGAAACTTGCATGAGCTTTGAAAGGGAGCCGTGCAGCATTCATACCATTACGTTCATTCGCATCTCCTGGATTGTCAGCGACAGCCTGATGCCCCTGTCTGCTATGCTGACATTCAGCAGAGCAACATCAACGATCAACAAGAAAAGTGCTTTGATTCGAAGTGGACGCCTCCTAAAAGTCTTACGGAATTACATTTTTGGGGTGCCACCAAGTTCGATTATGACAGACTTTTCTCGTTTTGGAAAAGTGGACTTTGCATGAGTACGAAGGCAAAGTGAGCATGAATAACTGGATGCAGGTCTTGCTTGTCGTCTTGCAAATGGGTGACAAGGCTCCGTTCATGCACAGAAATGTTAACATTGCTAATCTTGTCTGGAAGTTTCGCACGCTTTCCATGTCTTTATTGGAAAAAGCCTGGCTGGACAATCTCCTTTTGAAGACCTTCAGCTTGATGAATAGGTGGATGCTCACTGGCATGAAGAATTGCCTAATGCTCGGAAGTTTCACCCCCAAGCTTGCGCTTCCGTGTGGATGGGATGTTAAAGAGCTCTGTATTCAACTTATGCATCAGCACTCTCTTTGTGGTAAGAACATGACTACCAGACACCATCTTCTGACCGTTGAGGAGTTTTCTGCTTTGATACGGTACAGACCCGATCCGTTTCCTGAAACAAAAGTTGGTGTGAACTGGATCACACAAACAAGAAGGAGGAGACGATGGCTTGCTTGGGAGCAACAAGTGTTGGACATTTCACAGCAGCAGACGTGCACCCGTCTTGTTGACTACACGCTTCAAGAACGGCAACAAATGGATGTTGCTCAAATCAAAAACACATTTGTACCCGCTTGTGCTGTTAAGCGGCAGTTTAGAGGTAAGCTTAAGTTCTTTTTGAATGTCAAAGTTTCGCTTGAAAACAACCAAAGTTTTGCTGGAGTGGAAGGACATCACCTCAGTCACACTGCTAGACCGGACTGGGGTGAGGAACTTCCTGTTTGCATCTTCTGTCAGGCCCGTATTAACTTTATCAAAAGCGCTGACAAACTTCTTCGCAGATGTACCAAGGCACGACAACTTGAACCTGAAGTCTTTTGCAGTATGCTGAAACAAGCTAATGATTAGCAAAGTTCTAAGACCGTCTCAAGCACTCACCCACGAGTGAAGCGATTGCATCGACCGACCGAAGTCCGTCCATAGTAGTAGTAGTAGTAGTAGTAGTAGTAGTAGTAGTAGTAGTAGTAGTAGTAGTAGTAGTAGTAGTAGTAGTAGTAGTAGTAGTAGTAGTGGTGGAAGCAGAGTACAGGCAAGAAAAGATAAACTAGTGAGGTTGCGAGTCCTCCAGCGGAGCGAGCAGGAAAATCGCCCACCTGAAGTGTGGCCACAGACACACACACACACACATCGGAGAATGGACGGAGATGCCGTGCATGCCAGGCCGAAGTGCTGAAGCTGCAACCCAGCGACTCTGGATTGGCCATCAGCCTGCAGAAGACCTGAGCTCGAGGCTGAGAAGGGATGTCACGATATTAGGCACTCTGAAGGTGCGACGGCCAAGTGGTCAGCACCCTTCGGAACGTGAAGGGTCCGAGTCCTGTTGCTACTTGTAGTGCTCGCCGTACAGTAAAGATGCAAAACAAAGCACTGGAGTCACCAGAGGGTGCAGTGGCGCTGCTGGCCTCACTCCCATGGAACAAAGGTGCTCGTTTTTCATGGAGGCGTTGAAGACCGTCGCGAGAACGCTCTCGAAGTCGATGCCGCTGAACCTGTCGCTGAAGCATCTTCTACGCCTTCGGATGCTCTCTCAGACGCCGCCCGAGGCCCGAGGGAGGGGCTTCGGGTCCGTTGCGTTTTTGAGCGAGAGCGGCGCTGGCGGCGCCCACCTCGTGCGCGAGGAGCAAACCCTTCGAGGCGCAAAGGCGCAAAGGCCGCAGAGCAGCGCTCGTAAGGAAGCGGCCAGCAGTCCCTCCTGTGAAAACAAGAGAGAGAGAGAGAGAGAGAGAGAGAGAGAGAGAGCGAGAGAGCGAAAGGGCAAAAGCAAACCACCACTTCTTCTTCTGAGAGTCTTGTCTTGCGTTTTTTGTTAATGCTGCAGGGCTCCGTCGCTTCGCGCCGCAGGCCGGCTGTCCGGACGGATTCCTGCGGGGTGCAACACTGCGTTACACTGTGCTCTCGTTGTGCTGTGGCGGCGTGGCGAGGCACCGGAGTTCTTCTTCACTGAAGCCGGCTCTGAAAACGATGTCTCGTGCCCCCTGGCTCATGGCCACCACCTTTCAGATTCTTCTGGAGCCTCCGGTCTTTTGAGACTGAGAGTGCCGAGAGTGCCTGGCCGCCGGCATCTGCAACCATGGAGTAGAAATTGGGACTAAGCCGAAGCCTGCTCAAGACCTTCGGAAACCAGCAGTCAACTGAACGGAAGCTGGGGCTGTTTGGCCGCTGGCTTCGCCGGCGTAGGTCATGTTGACGGTCATGGTCACCGTCCCCATGGGGACCTGACTGCGAAACTGCCGTGTCGGGGCCAGGATTAGGATTTTGGGCAAACGAGGTTCACCGAAACCAGCATGCACATCACGCGATGCACTGCAGGACGCTTTGATGCAGTGTAAAGTCGGTCCGGCAGTCACGAGCTGCCGCGCCACATCGGAATGTTGCACATCTGCACTTCACAACGACATGCCTCCCATGCTTGAATCGTTCGGGGCAGTTTCGGTCGGCTTTTTGGGGGGAAGTGTGATACATGAACGGCCACATGCCACACCCAAAGCGCCCCTAACGGCATAACATGCACCAGATGCTCGTGCAATGGCACACGCGGGTGATGGGCACATCGGGTGAGTTTGGGAGAAGCGGTTCACAAGTGGCATGTGTTGCTCTGTCGTCCCCCCTCTGGAGCAAGATTTGCGGCACAATCCTCATGGAGAGCAAATCATGCTCCAGTGTTCCGGCCATTAAGCTTGGGTGAAAGATTTGCTATTGTCCGTAGACTTGCTCTATTGACTCAATAGTGCCTTCAAGGAGCTTCATGGGGAGCAAGAGTCGGACTGTAGAGGATCCGAAAGCTTCGCTTTAGTGTCGGGGCCAGCAAGCGCCTCCGAAGGAGCAAGAGAGGTTTGTACTCTTTCATCCAACGCTCCTCGTACCAGAGCAAAAGCCCAGAAGAGGGAGCAGGAGCCGCTTCTGTCGGAGCAAAGAGCATGACGTCACCGCCACCAACACCCCCCGCCGGATCAGAGAGCGATCGTCGTCACGAGCTTTCGAGAGCGGAGAGCGGAGCGGCCGAGGCTGTCGAGGCGCGGCGCGCGGGCCTGGGGTCTGGGGCCTGGGCCGGCGGAGCCTCCGCTTTCTCCGGATCCGTTTTGAAGGCCACCGCGGAGACCTGCGCGCCGTTTCCGTGGCGTTGCGGGGCGGCCACAGCCCCACAGCAAAGCACAGCACTGGCACAGCACACCCTCCCAGCAGCACTTATAGCCCACTCACAATCACCGCCTCGGAGATGAGATCCCCAGTGACTCGGCTCTTGGCGGCGGGCATCCAGTGCAACCTTGGACGCAAATCGACAGCGGCTTGGCAGCTTCAAGGCAGCTTGGCGGCTAGTCGCCGCTTCACGCTGAAGGTGCAGAAGGGAGGCGACAGACTTCGGTGCAGCTGGGCAGCGGGGCAGGCTCGCTGCCGGGCAGCGTCCCGTTGAAGACGCTCTTGCGGATCGTGGGGTCAAGGAGATTGGCGTGCGGTCGGTCGATACAGGCCCAGGTCCTTGGGGCGGCGGCAGCTCCGTCTTCGCCATCTTCGCCGGAGTCACTGGTCCAGAGGTGCATGACGATTTTGGGGTCGTAGCCGAAGTATTGCAGGCGTGTGTGGAAGCCTGGTGTAAAGATAACCTTCTCGCTGTTTGAGAAGTCGTCCACGCCACCTCCCAGCATGGCAAAGCTGAGGCCCCGCTCCGCGCGCTCGTCGTCCGAGTCGGCTATTGCCGGCGGCATCATCAGGATCCTCTTGCCGTTGTAGCTGGTAAACCGGATGCCAGAGCAGCTGTTGCTTTCGGCCTCACCAGGTCGGCAGTCCTCCGTCTTGCAGATGCTCAGCTCTGAAAGCTTCTTCGGCTCCTCCCGTCTGCTGCTGAGCTCAGCGGCATCTGCCCGTTGGAAGAGCTTGGCGAAGATTCGCAGCAAGTTGTTCGTTCGCAGGAACTCGCAGTCCAAGGAACTTGCTACGGTGGAAGCCATGGTCACAAAGACGCTCACTGAGCACGCCTCCTTCTTCAAAGAAGTCATCGCCTGAACAGAGCAAAGCCGCCCACTCTGACTCTACGACTCTATTACGCATTCCGCCCCGTCAGTTCAACGGTCAGTCAGGGACTTTTTGTTCCCGACTTCCAGCCTCGGCACAGCCGTGATCCCGGGAAAGCAAAGTCTCCTCGACCGGACTTCCCTCCGCCGACGACCGAGTCTCGTCAAACTCCGTGCCAAGCACGCCACGGTCGCCGTGGCTCTGAAAGAGCTCACCTTGCGCCGCCGGCCGCGCGCTGCTCGCCCCGGCCCCGGCCCCCGCCGGCCGCGCGGCATGTGACGGGCGCCCAAGGACAAGCAGAGTGAAGAGAAGGAGCAGGCCTTGAAGGCCCTGAAGAAGCAGTGCCATGCTCACATCATACAGCAAGCAAGCCCCTTTCGGCCCGTTTCGAGTTCTCACACAACGAAAGCTTTTCGAAGTCCCCTCTGGGAACTCGAGCTCGAGCCGGACGAGCAGACGAGCAGACCACAACGCCAGGAGCTCCGCGACGCGGAGAAACGACGGGCGTAACTTGCGAACCCTTAAAGATTGCGCCTCGCAGACTCTGACTCTCTCCGAGAAACGCGCTGGCGCTGCGCTCTCTCTAGGGACTCTAACTCTAGCGAAGAGCGAGCACAGGCTCGCTCCGGCTCTCGGGCGGCTCCTTTGCGGCTCTTTGGAAAACTCGAAGAGGGCCCCCGCAAGGCGTCGCCTTGCGGCCTTGCGGCGGCGCCTTCAGAGCCGGCTGTGGGGAGCGGAGCTCGGAAGCGCTCTCTCTGCACTGCATTTAGCAGTGCTGCTATCATATAGGCTGTTGAAACTTCCAAGTCAACTCTTTCTTCATCAAGACGGACGGGGCTTCTTGCCGTACTTCTGAAGATTTCGGAAGGGGAGGGGCGCGGGGGGGTGGGGCGTACTCTTGGTGGTTCACGAAAATTTGAGGTGAAACCTGGAAACCTGCCCAGAAGCAGGGTGCAGCAACTGCTACAGGATCTCCAGCACGGCCGAAGGCTTGCCTGCCTGCCAGGGAGAGGGAGAGGGAGGGGGAGAAGATTCTCATCAAGAGCTTCGGCGGGGCGTGCGCACGGCAGGCAGAGCAGTGGGCACCTCAGCCTTGTGTCTCTCGAAGAGTTCCCTCAAGGCTTCCATGTACTTCCCGTGCCACTCGTCCACCTGAAGACGACGCTCGAAGCGGTCCAAGCGGGGCAGCGCGGCGGCGCTCGCGCTGCGATGTCTCGCTGTCTCGCCTGCTGCGTGGAGGGCTCCGAAAGCTTCGGGAGCTCCAAGGCCGGGCCCACGAAGGTCAGCAGCTGACAGAAAGGGAGCAGCGGAGAGCAGCGGAGAGCAGCGGAGCGGAGAGACTCTGAAGGCGGCGCTTCGGAGGCGCTTCCCCTTTCGCTTCCCCCTTTCTGAAGGCGGGCCTTGAGGTGCCGGCGCGGGAGCAGCGGGCACCACCTCGGCACTCAGCGCTAGCGGCACAGCGCTAGCGGCACAGCGCTAGCGGCACTCCTCGGCCCACATCTGAGGCCAAAGACGGCAGGCCCCAGAAGCAAACGGTTGGAATTCCTTTGCCGTTCAGCCTCGAGCTCCGGTCCGACACGGAAGCGCGACGCGCCTCCCTTTCTCGGGAGCCGACCAAAGCCGGAGCTTGTCGAAGCCACCTAGCGTGAAGTACCTCCGCGGTCCCCGGTGGCAATGACTGCGACGACTCTGCGCATCTTAGGAGGCCCTGGGGTGGGGTTTTGGGGGGGGAGGCTGGGAGTTGCACGTTTCGCTTTCTCCGAAGGTGTACCTCGCAAATCCCCGAAAAATCCGAGCATCCCGGAAGCTCCGCCGGATGTCTCAGGCTATGACACCGGATGTAATCTATAGCCGTAGCGGAGGCAGTACCTGGAGCTCCAACAGCACGCTCGACGATGCGCAAACCGAGCAAAGAACACAAGGCGGCACATTCAAAGAAATAACTTGAAGTGACGAACTTCATCTATCTGACTGACGAGACAAACAACTCTCTCTCTCTCTCTCTCTCTTGCTTGCATCCGGTCAAGGGCAGCGCACAGCACTACCTCTCTCTTGCTTGTAATCGGTCAAAGGCAGCAGTCTCTCTCTCTCTCTCTCTCTCATTCTCTCTCTCTCTCTCTCTCTCTCTCTCTCTCCTGGGCATGAGGGCGGGTCAACGCCCTCGGGCCAAAGGCCCCCCCGTCGTGTTGACGGGCGTGAGGGGTGAGATACGAATGTGGAACACTGTCTCGGCTAAAGCCATATAGTTTACGATAACGACGACAGTGTTTCAACATTCTCCTCAGACACATGCATCAGCTTTCGCTTTTATCCCCCATTTATGCAGGCAACAACTAAACAAGATCCATAGTTCTCAGGGGATAAAAGTCTCAGCTTGCAGTCCCCCTCTCTCTCTCTCTCTCTCTCTCTCTCTCTCTCTCTCTCTCTCTCTCTCTCTCTCTCTCTCTCTCTCTCTCTCTCTCTCTCTCTACAATATATATACCTATACATACACAAGTTCTGGAATGAGCGGACCATGGACTACGGACTCGGTTCGACTCCTTTGCGCAGGGACAAAAGAAACTCGGCATTCCCCAAAATCGCAGGCTCCATTTTCAGGTGTGGGAGTGGCCATCGTGTCGGCACTTGGGGTTCAGCAACTCTGGGAGTAATTGATGTAGTGGAGACGTCTTGATAATAACTTGGCATGCGAAACTTCGGCAGGATTAAATCTGCCCAAAACCATGCGGATCAGATGCACACAAATCCGAATCTACAGCGCAATAGATGCCAGGATGTTGGGCATTCAACGTGTTTTTCATCTCTGCCAAGGTTTTCGGGTTTCACTGTTTGAGGGTCTTGGTTTACTTGGGGCGGCATGTTGGCAACTTGAGGAACACTCCAATTGATGTCTTCAAAGTGCAGCTATGCAAGGGTTCGCGTTTCGGGAAGGGCTTGCCGAGCAATGACATCATCGGCGGATGTGGCGCGTCCGCATTCTCCAGCCACGATCCATTGAAGCTTCTACTTGTTTCTTAAGTCCTGTGATAGGACAGCAGCGGTTCTTGTCGGAATCGGTCTGTAAAAGGTAAACAACTTGACTCATGGCTGCAGCAAATCTCATATGAGAAGTCTCTTTCAACTTTGGTCAGGATGTTGGATGAAAAGGACAACTAACCTAACTCAGCTGCGGCGGAGGGAGGAACGCATTCCGTAAGAGCGAGAGAATTTCTGGCGCCGGGCTGCGGCTCTCGCTCTCCGCCGTAGTGGCTCGGCTCTGCAATGGAAAAATGCAGAGCGCGCCGCGCGTGGCGCTTTTTTGCCAACCGCGTATCCGACTTTGAGCGGCGCGGCCCTTCACTGACACATCAAAGAGAAAGGCGGGCGGGCTCGGGCTTCTTCTTTATGGAAGTGGAGAGAATGCGTGCCTCACTGCAGTGATGTTGGTGTCGCTTGGCTGCCTCGACGTCTTTGTTTCTGCTGGCTGGGGTCGTTTGCCAACCGCGTTCGGTCTTCCTGTATTTGACGCGCACTTGCCGTGCAAGCTGGTCGCGACACACTTCACACCTCTTCACATTCAGTGATTGTGTTGGCGGCGGAGCGGAAACACTCTACGGTTCTGCCTGAATGGACACGCCGCATGACATGGCCGGGCGCACTTCACAAAGCCTTTGCGCTGTCTGAGCGCCACTCTCTCAAAGCCGTGAGAAAAGCAAGTCGCCTGGCAGGAGAACGACTCACGAAGAGCGAACCTTGCAATTCGACGAACCTACGCTAGGAGTACAGGAATGGTTGGGTTTATGGCGTGACTGTGACAGACCCGAGCCGGGCTTGCTCCGCAGCGCCGCGCCTCTTGGTAGGCGCCAGGAGTCATGGAGATCGACTCGCCCTCTGATATGCAGGCTTGACTTGTGCAGTCATTGAGCCATCACTCGCCTTCTCCATGAGATTCTGGATCGTTACGGCTCGTGTGTCACGAATGGCTCCGTGCCTCGCACACATGCAAAGGGTTCTCGCCAGTCTAACAAATCTGCACCTAGCGGGTTGTCGCTCAGCACCACATCGCACTTCCAGTTCAAGAAGCCGACTCCCACGAACAGACAAGGCTTGGAAAGCCGTAGAAGATGAGGCGCTGCCAACAGCAAAACCGCGTTCCCCTGTCAGGACAATAAGGCCACAGAGCCACGCTTCTGCAAAGCATCGAAAGGCGCGGCGATGCGGCAGCGCGAGCGAGAGAAAGCTGCGAGCGTTGAAATTTCAGGGAACCGGGGGATTTCATCTGATTGTGTCAGCTGGCACTGTCTGGCACCCTGAGGCCATGGCCTACGCGACTTCTCAGCATCCTCCCCTGTTTAAATCTTGCCTTCTCTTGGAGTTGCTACCCTGTTGCATAAGAGAGAATAGTCTTGGGGTATCCTGTCAAACGCCATCAAGAGACGCATCAAGCGCAGCAAGAAATTTGCGGCGCGACTCTCCAGCGCCGGAGCTCTGGGCCCCCGGCGGTCCCTCGAATGCGTCCAAGAAGAACTTGGCCAGCAAGCCTTTGTTCCTGCGGAGGAGAAACCCTGCAAAGAAAGGCCAAACTGGGCCGCTCTTTCGGCCGCCGTCCGCAAGGTCGGATCGATGAGGTAGTTACAGTGACCAACCACCTCCAAGCGGACAAGGCCAAGCCGCCAAGCCTCTCTGCTCTTCACAGTTTTCCCAGCCTCATGAAACTTGCGGCCCCAGACAACCTGAAGAGAACTTTCAACAAGCCGACACCTTTTGTCCAGTTGCGAACCGTCGGCTTCGTTTGCATCCAATGCTGCAAGGGTGCGTTCGAACAGAAACCCACGGAGAGAATGCCTGCACGTCTGCTTCCGTGACGGAAGCAGCTGCGACTGTGCGACTGGCTGAGGCTTCGGCCGTGCGGGTGGCAGGCGAAGAAACGGCTTCCGCTTCCTTTGCCGCCTTTCTCGTCGCCCAAGGCACCAGCGTCGTCAAAACGCACCTCGCTGCCTCGAAAGTGAGCGGAGCCCGTCGGAGCTGGGAGATCCGTTTTGTCCGAGTAGGAGCCCGGGCTTTGGTGGTAGCCCTTGTAGCCCTGGTACTGGAACTCCAGGAACTGGATGGCCCAGGCCAGGCGGGTGGGGGGCCGCAACATGTGTGCATGACGCCGCCAATTCTGCACCTTGGGGCTGGGTGCACAAACGCGCCGGCGGGCGTTGAGCAGTGTCATCCAAGAAGCCACCTTCAACGACGAAAGAACATGTGGCATGTGTGTCTTTAAGTAGATGCGCAAATACTTATGTATATGTAATGAATGTGTATATGTAGTCCTTCCCCACCGTTCCAAAACTCAATCGGCTGATCCTTAAACGCCAATCTACTTGGCCGAAAGCTTAGGGAACCATCCCGACTCACTGAGCAGCAACGATCGGCGCTTTCGGCCTCTAATCTCGTACGGGCTCGTCAACCAACACAGTTGTAACGAGAACACAACAGCAAACCAGCGCTAGATGTGCCGAAGCGGAACCAGTGCGATATAAATAAGGTTTCCTGTAGATGAAAGAAACAAAACAAAGACTAAGACATGAAATGGTAGAAAGAAGACAAAACCAATTTATCACAAACAAGTCCTGGAACGACAATAAAGCCAAGCTTTATGATTTAAAAACGCAAAGTAAAGTGAGTTTTGTTATTTTCGTTTAATTGCATGCAAAAACACTGAGCTCCTTCCCATAATTTTTACTGTGTGGAACCACCTAGAGAATATAAGACTACGAATTACTTAGGAAAGGATTGTAACGAAGATTCAGTTGGAAATCACAAAGCTATTTCTCTTTCACTTTATTCTAAGTAGTTCCTGTGCTTCTTTTTGATGAATTTAATGCTTACACACAACCCTTTCTACCTCTTGGGCTTAGTATGTGAGGAGTCACTAGTAGTTCCCAAGCCTTAGGAATTACTTGACCTTATCCTCTTGTAATCATGCGTTGGTTCAGACATTGGACGACCTGTCCCGACGAAGATTGTGAAACTCCTACCCGAACCCGGCGTTCGAGCTCGGCCAAGCTAATTCCCAACGAAGCGATTTGTTTAGTGCGTAATGTTTCTTATTGTCCGCCCCACCCCCGACCACACGCTCAAACCAGATTCGTTTCGGATTCGTCGGTGTAGCTACTGTTGGATGTTGGGGTGCACCCACTATGCTGTCGCTGCTAAAACCACCTCCTCAGATTCTCTTTGTGTACGCCGATGGAAAAGAAAATGCTGAGCCGACGTTGCTAGGACATTGTATGCCGCACATAGTGAGTGTGGTTTGGGGCAGATTTGGCCATGAACTAACGTGCTTCGTCTTGTCGAGGTCTTGGGGCGCAGGGCAAGAAAGTTTACTGTGCACGGCAAGTGCGTCCTGCTTCTGACCAGCTGCTGTTTTGCAGTGCGCGGCGGGCACGTAGTGACCATGCCGGGGGCTGCGGGCCAGCATCATGAGCATCGTTTTTTGCATACTGTGAAAATCAGGACGTGATGGCCAGCCGGGCGGCGGGTCATGTCGACATAGGCGATGCGGCCTGAAAAGCCTCGTGGGACACTGCCCGAGTCCAGCCTCAGCACCGCCTTCTTGCCGTCGAGACTGTACTTCGCGAACTGTGACATGCAAAAAGACCGAAGTGGGTGGCACGACTTGTCCGCATTCCGCGAACCGTAATGGCAGCATTTGGTCATGAGGAGTAGTTTCTTTCACGGAGTCGTTTCTTTCACCAACCAATTCAGGAAGGGACTGATGAAAAGGTCCTCACGTGTATCCAAATGAGGACAACTCACTTCACGACCGATCGCTCGATCTGCTCCGGAAGTCGGAAACCCATCTCGAACGGGTTGGGGAGAACTGGCGCTGCAAAACGGCCACAGATCAGGATGCATCGCTGCTGCTCAATCGAACGACAAGACTCATCCCTAAACTCCAATCTACCTAGTGAGGAACATATGTATCTATCTATCATCTATCTATGTGTCTGTCTGCCTGTACGTATGTGTTAATTATGTAATGTATGTGTATGACCTGGGTCACATGTATACGGTAACGACACTCACGGTGGTGCACAGAGCCGAGTGGGGCCCAAGGCCCTGGCTGCTGCAAGCAAAAGGGCTGGCCCTGTGCGTGCCAGCAAGGCGGAAGAAAAGGAGACCTGACAAACAGAGGCCAGGGGCTGCTCGGCTGCCAGGGTCAGGCCATGCGGATTGGCTGTGGCGGTGCAAGGGCCAAGGCCAGGAAAACAGCCGCAGCAGCTAAGCGCTGGTCGACCTGCAACAAAGCAACAATCTCAGGAACGTATCGCCGCGTCTCCGTGTGGTATTCTAGCTTTCGAGCGCACTTTTTTCAGGGTTCACATGCAACATGGCCATCGCCCGCTAATGAAGTGTGGATGATACTTGTGCTATCGCCTCACGATGTCAAAAGGCAACGGGCACAGGGAGAAGCAAGTCTCGCCACAAACTATAGCCGGCTACGTCCGGGAATCGAGCTACTCAATCGCCCGACTAATGTTGCAACCCCGCCCTTGCCCAGCCTGAACCAGGACAGCGAACATGGACACCGCCGTCAGCAACGACTTGCACCATCCCATCTGTGAGGAGCACGCACGCACGCACCCTCACGCGCACGCACACGCGCATGCGTCCGTGCACGCACGCGCACACACACACACACAGACACGCACAGACAGACAGGCAGACAGACGCACATGCCCATATAATGCAGACCTCCTATATGCACCCACTCATGACAAACATGCAGAACAGGACACTGCACACGATACCTAGCAAGGAGAGCGCAACTGATCGCTCGTGCATGTAATCATGGGATGCAAATGTCCCAGCTGCCATGCCAGGCCCAAGGCACTTTGCTGACTCCCTCGAGCTGCCACGCAAGGCCCAGGAGCAGGGTCCCCGATGGCAAGTAAAATGAAATGGCCAGTTTCAGCCTCCCACATATTCAATTAGCTTCGTTGGATGAAATCTCTGAGTATGCGTCTCATCCCCGTGCCTTCGCAAGCCGTTACTTCCCTTTGACACAGGGTTTGACACGCACACGCACGCACACGGACACACAGACACACAGACACACAGACACACAGACACACACACACACACACACAGAGACACACACACACACACAGACACAGACACACCCACACACACACACAGACACACACACACACACAGACACACACACACACACAGACACACACACACACAGACACAGACACACACACACACACAGACACAGACACACACACACAGACACACACAGACACACACAGACAGACACACACAGACAGACACACACCCACACACACGCACTCTCGGGCTTTGCAAGCCTAACGTCACACTGTACAAGCTGGACGGCAACGTGGTCTCCTTTAAAGACCAGTTGGTTTGAAAACGGTTAGTTTAAAGGTGGACGCCAGTTCTGTACGTTCCAATGTCCACACGTGTGCGCAGGGCGTAGGAGCTTCCAGCGGCCAAGACAATCGTGACGAAATTGAGAAAATTTTGGCAACTAAACCACCGCTCTACAGCAGGCTCAGCTTGAACGAAAGAGGATTGACACAGCGGTGCTTTCGGACTCCAGCATACTCGCGTTCGACAATCCCGACTTTTGTGGAGCCAATGTAGAACATGTTAGAGCCAAGAGAAAACCGGCGCCTTGAGCAACTCTGAGTAACACCAGGCACGTGAATCTAGACAACGAGACTCTGATTGAAAAACTGCCAACTGCAGCTTCGACGTGAGCCATTTTGACATAACAACCTTCGTTTCCACTCAGCGAAGTTGCAAGACAACCTTTCGGCACAACACAACAAGGTTAGCAACACAGAGCTGGCTACGTACGAGGCAGCCCGCTTGATGGCTTTGTTTGGAAAAAGCAAGGCACACTGTAGCACCATGCACCGTGTGGTAAAAAGAGAAAAGCACCTGTACGAGGCGGGAAATCAGCCGGCGAGAACATGAGCTGCCGCAATGATGCGGATCAACTCCTTGTCCTTTGCCGAAACGGTTTGCTTTGCACTCAAACCCCACTCAGCAGCAACGTCCGGGAGGCTTGCCAACTGTGGTTCCGA